AGTCATAGGCCCTGGCTTGTAGCCCCGGCTGGCGCTCAGGTTTTGATGAAATCTGGAACAGGCAATATCCAAGCGCGCATTTCTCAGATGAAAGAGAAGGTTTTAGTGGTGAGGAGGGTGGCTCTTTTGAGATTATGGTAGCTGATATAAATTAAATACGCTGATTTAAGTGTTTCCCAAGAACAGGCTTCTGCTCATTCTGATTGGGCTTTGATTTTTGCTTTATTTTTTCTCCACCCCTCATGTCCTCAGTGGGTGTGTACTGCCACTCTGTATTGTCCCAGTATTGTCCTATCCACTGTAGAACCACGCTGTACAGTTAAGACTGTATCTGTGTGAACTGTGAAAGAATGGGTCCGCTGATTCCTTTCACGTGGGCCATTTTCCCCTGTGTTGTCTTCCTATCGTCCGGTCTCCTCGTCACACCCCAATGACGTTGTGCCATTTCCCGACTCCCAGCCACCCCAGTTCCCTTTGTTTTCTACACATCTGAATGCTAATTGACAGTGGCTGGTTAGAGGGACTGGGCTACGTTGTCAACACCACTTTTACTAAAGTACTTTTTGATTTGTTATCCCAAACTCCTCATAAGAGCAACTAATATTATCTAGGGCAAAAACTATCACGCATACTCTTTTCCTTTAGTTTAGTAGGTTTGTATAGCACAAGAACATTGGGAAAGGGTGGGGGGGAATTTGGTTGAGACGACGCCACTCATAATGAATTCAGATAGGAAGATTATAATGAATACATACATTCCTGAGTGGTTGTAAAGAAAAGCCATATGGAATTCGGTCCATATAATGGTCTGCTAAGCATCGGAAACATTCCAAACAGCTTTTATGGAGTTATCACCAGGGCATGCCGCCTTTTCCCTTTTACAAATTAATAATAGACAGTGAAAGGAGCGTCGCCGTGAAGCCACGGGCTGGATGCTAGAGAACCGGGAACATGTGCGTCCAATGGCAGCCCTTTTGCTAGTATCACCCTATGCCGGTAGCACCCTATGCCTGGTAATGCCCTATGCCTAGGTAATGCACCCTATTGTGTGTAATGGCACCCTATTGCCTAGGTAATGCACCCTATTGCCTAGGTAATGCACCCTATTGCCTAGGTAATGCACCCTATTGCCTAGGTAATGCACCCTATTGCCTAGGTAATGCACCCTATTGCCTAGGTAATGCACCCTATTGCCTAGGTAATGCACCCTATTGCCTATGTAGTGCTCTGCTTTTGACCAGAGCCCTATGGCCCCTGGTCAAAAGTAGTGTTCTGTATAGGGAATACAAACAGGACAGACAATAACCTGAATAATGATCTGTCTGTGACTGTTGTTGCCCTACTGAGAGACAGTGAGGGGCTGTCAGACTTACAGTTAGATGGACGCTCTGCTAGACTGACTGAGCGAGCGTATGTGTAGTAGTAGGAGTAGGAGTATGACGTGGGTTCAATTAGTATTTTTTATTTTTTTTCAAATACTTTGAGCGTTTGATTAAACCTGTCTGGATGGGCAGGGTTTGCACTTTTGGGACTATTGCCTTTGTTCCATTGTGCTAGGCAACCTCAGTCAAGCGCAGCTAAAGTATTTGACAGAAAATAAATACCATTTGATCCCAGGACAGTATGTAGGCTATTATATTATTATTATTATTTATTTTTTGTAAGATTATATATATATTTTTGACAATACAAACATACACATACAAACGACAGCATACAAACACACACAAACATCATCCTTCCCAGATCCACCTGCTCACACCCCCATCTCCAGAGCCCACATCACTCTCCGCCACATGGCCTCACTGAACCATTTTGTTTCTCTCTGTCGCCCACGCACTTTCAACATTTAGATAATAAAGCATTTGACCTTTCCATTGTGTTAACGATTGAGGATGGGTTGATTTCCAGTTTTTAAGTATACGTTTTTTTCAAGATGAAAAGTATCGTCCAACCCATTGGCTATCTATCTCACTGCTCCCTCATATGCCATGTCTTGAAATATACAGACAGACGGATTAAAATACATTTACATTGTAATACTTCTGACAGACAACTTTCAAACTCCACCCATAACTTTTGGACTTTATAGCATTCCCAGAAGGCATGGATTATTGAGTCATTGTTAGTTTTACACTTAAGACATGACTCTGCCATTGTGCTGTAGAATTTGTGAATTTTGTCTCTTGTGTAATAAATTCTATACATTAGTTTATACTGGATTAAGCGTACATTTTTGTTAACTGTCATTTTGTTAGTTATGTTCCAACATTCCCTCCATCTTGTGTCAATATCAGTTATTTTTAAGTCTTGGTTTTAATAGTTTATATTTTTTTCTAAGAGGCTATTATATTCTAATGTATAATTCAGCCAAATCAAAATAAGCCTGAAACCTGAACGAGGTGTTCTCAATCCAAAATGTAAATTCTGCTGATTGATTTAATCAGAGAGTGAGACGACTACTCTTAATAAGGTATTCAGCATTCAGATTGCATGACTAGCCATTTAAGGAAATTGAACAGCGCCCTCTCGATCTCTTTCTTCTGGCCTCTGCGTGAGACGGATCTCTAGACTAGCGAGAAAATGTTGCATGGGGATGTCAGGTTAGTGTTAGCCACTGGCACTGGAGGGAGTTGTAGAACTACTACTAGAATTACTTTTACTGGTAGATCTAGCATGCAAGACAAGATATATTTGTGGTCACAACTTCATTTAGACAGTCCAGTCTCTCTAGCCTAATTCAGGTCTACTTGAAATGTAAAAAATATGCATCATTTGAGACAACATGAACAGGTGCCCTATAACAGGCAGTAATGGAAGTTATTATTAGATAGTGTCTAAACCTTCAAGTGCTCCCCTGACCCTGCATCTACCTTCTGACGGACCAGACCTTCTACTCCTGACCAAGGCTCTATTCCAGACAGACTTCTATTAGCCTTGTGCCCCACTAGCCTCTGCTGTTCCTGAACCTAGCATCCCGTTCCATCCCTTCCCATCCCTGTCTATGCTTGTTGTCCTCGTGCTACATACCCATCCGGTCACTGGCTGTGCTTGTCTTGCTAATAATAATATTACATGGGACTTATATAGCGCTTTTCAACGACCCAAAGTCTCTTAAAGGTCGCTTTGTTGTCCATATGCTTCATCCTCATTCCGTCGCTTCCCATTCCATCCAACCTATCCTTCAATCCCTGGCTCTGCTTGCCTTGTTGTCCTCGTGCTCCAGAGCCAAGGGTAATTGATGAATGCTGCTGTCTGCTCTCATGGTATTTTAAGAGTGTCTAATTTATGGCAGTAATATTGTAGGGCCAGGCCTGCTGTGACTGCTGCTTGTTTGACGGGCATAAATAAAGATGTTTATGTCCCTAAAACTTCTGCCAAGCCCCACTAGTGCAATTTTCCTATTTTCTAAACACAGTGTCAAAGACAAACAACCCTGGTCCTGTTTCCCCGTTGGTGTGTGTGTGTGTGTGTGTGTGTGCGCGCTGCTGCTTGAGTGTTTGCCCGTCACGGTTCTAGCTATTAAATTAGGCCACAAGCTTATTGTTGACAATCTAATATGGCTATTATCCAACCATGCCCCCAAATATCTTGATCGGATTGGATCTTCCTTTCTAGGGTTTCACCCCCACATGTAACGGCATGTAGACAACATGTCTGACTACTTAGGTATAACTTTATGTTATCTTGTTACAAAACACATGAATACTATTCACCTAACACAAAGCTATTTTAGACTGTACAGTACACTACTGTAGCCTACGTGTGTCTATAACTCTCCAGGATCTTGTAGGAAGGGGCTTACCTCACTGACTATTAATACTGACAGATTAGGCACCTGTGATACAGCTGGTTAACGGACACATTTTCAGGAAAGGTCCCTCAAAAGGCACAGGTTTGTCTGTCTGTCAGCTGCAGCTCTGTATTGGGGGGGGGGGGGGGGGTGGTAAGAAGAGCAACTGCATCACTGGGTCAGCATAGGTTGGTGGGAGATACTGGGGACTGTTCTCAATGGCACATTGTTTGTTTGAATATTAGGCTATAGTTACATGCTTTACATTTGAGAATGCATACAATGGTTCATTATGAAGGTGTTATAAGATTTGGGTCGAAAAGCCTTCAGAGTATTAATGTGTATTAAAACTATTTAGGCTTGCAAATCCATAGTATGCAAATCCATGCCATGATGCAACATTTAGAAAATGTGGTTGCCCTTTCAATGCTATGATTTCCACCATTAAAGTGATGGATTAAAACCACGAGCCAGGTAGAATAACATGACATGAGAATTCAATGCAATGGTCCTGTTGACTTACCTTCAGCCAGCTCAGGTAACAAGTAACTCTACAGTGGAAAAGACATCTGGAAATTGCCACAGTGACCATCCAAAGCCCCGAATTGCATGGTAGAGTTTGAGCAGCATCTAGTGGTGAAATAGGTAACTGCAGTATAGCAATGGGCATAAAAGTACTCGGGTAAGACTGATGAAAAATCTGTCATTTTCCTATTACAGGATTCAATTGTCTCGAAGATTATGATTTAGGAGATGACTGCCATGCAGCATCCCACAGTAATGAAACTAAGTATACGTCCCAAAGTGCATTATATACGGAATAGGGTGCCATTTGGGACATAACACTGAACTGTCAAAACTTCCATCCGCCATTGACTCTCTGAGAGTGACCTCTGTGCCTCTTAACCAATGGTCTGGTTTCTTTTACCCTGAGGCCAGTAGTGATTATGCTGAAGGATGGAAGATGGGAGTATTGAGACTACAGGTCTAGGCTTGTTCTCTAGTCTTCCCCAGAGATACAGAGAGCCTTGATAACATTAACATGTAGTTAACTAAGGGAGTGTTTCAACAGCTGAATTAGCATGCCTGACTGGTTGGTAATGATGATTAAGCTATGCCATGTTAGTGTTGTGTGTTCAGCTACACTGCCTGACTGGTTGGTGATGACAGGTGTGCACGGAGTATTGAGAGAAGTAGATTCTCACGCATGTGTAACCTACATGCAGGAATAAGCACGTGAACAGTATAGGTCAACCTGGTGCGGTAGAGAAATGTGGGATGTGCATATGATATATCACTCACACAGACCCACTCTCTCTCCTCTCTCTCTCTCTCTCTCCGTTCTCTCCCTCCTCCCCCTACAGAAGATGATGTGGACCTGGAGGCGCTGGTGAATGACATGAACTCCTCGTTCGAGAGCCTGTACTCCACATGCAGCAGCGTGCAGTCTGAGTCAGTTCCCCTCCTGCAGCACAACGGCCAGGTGCACGTGCACCGCGACCACCACCGCAGCTCCCCCATGCCCCCCCACCCCCACACCTCCCCCAGCGACCTGCAGCCCAGCCCCACCTCCCCCAAACAGAGACTCCGACGCTCCCAGCCCATGCACATCCTCGCCGTCAGGTATGTCTGCTGTGTTGGCACGTGCACATTCACACACACACACAACACACACACACCCAATAGATACAATTCCTCCACATCTAAACAAGGGACCATGTTCTCAGTATGCTCTGTGGGGACAGGTATGTGCTTATTATAGTTCATCGTTTTGCCTATCCGCAGCCTCTCTGGGACCCATTCTCCCCCTGTCACTTTCCCCTGTCCTAGCATAGCATAGCAGAGGGGGAGACCAAGTTCAAATTTCTCTTTTATTCTAGAAACAGGGTGCCTACTGCTCCCATAAGTTGAGAGGAACTTTTATTCACCTCAGGTCTTAATGAAATCTAAACCTGTCTGTCAGAGTTGTAACATCCATTATTTTCGATCCCTAGAGAAAGTTTGGCACTGGCTGGTAATGAGATATATCATTGGCTCATTCTGTCTGTTGGATTGAAATGATATGGTTCAGCTTATTATTCAGTCCTGACCTCCAAATAACACCCTGCTCCTGCCTCACATGGAACTACATCAAACTACATCAAAAGCTTCTCCTTTTGAACTCCCCTCCCTTACCAGCTTGGGTTTGGAGAAAGTATAGAGAAATGCTAATGATGGCTATCTGCCTGGCTGCTGCAGTTCAATTCAGATGCTAGTCATCTGATTAAGCCAAGCCAAACTCTTGTCTGTTTCTGATTGACAGTCAGGGTCTGCATCCCAAATGGCACCCTATTCCCTACATAGTGTACTACTTTTGACCAGAGCCCTATGGGCCCTGGTCAAAAGTAATGCACTATAAATGGAATAATAGGGTGCCATTTGGGACGCCGCCCTAGTCGGTTTCTTATTGACAGGCAGACAGTGAATGAACAGGCTGTTGCCCTTGCAGCAGGTCATGAAATGGGCACTTTCCTCTTGAAACTGCCTGAAATAATGGTTTGATGAATATTGCATGTAATTAGTAGCTCCAAAAACGCTGGCAATCTTCCTGTGGTGTGGCAGAAAGAATCAGCTCACAGTGCAGTGATCAGAGAGAAATGGGCATGAGGCCTCGGCTCGGCAGCAGTCTCTCTCTCACTGTGAAACCAAGGATTATTCATTATTCATACTCAGCCACAAAGCATTGGGTTTATATCAGGGGAGACTGTCCTCATGATCTGCATTCATCTGCTTCTTAACAGCCTTTTCAGTCAGTCTGTCTGTCTGTGTCTGTCCCTCACTGTGTTAATGTCCTCCCTGAATGTTGTGATTCTCAGGAGACTGCAGGAAGAGGAGCAGCAGCTCCGGACGTCCTCTCTGCCGGCCATCCCCAACCCCTTTCCCGAGCTCTCCAGCTCTCCTGTCCTCAGCCCTGGGTCTTTACCTCCGTGTCAGCCCTCAGGCACATACGTAAGTCAGAGACCCTTCTCTTCAGTCCTTACTATGGTAGCTGAGGTAACCATGAAGATTGTCCATGAAAATGGCAACTAAAGTATAGTATCGTACATCTTACAGTACCATGGCAGTTTGGTATATTTCTCCCACGGTCATTATCTCTCATCAGAATCAGTGAAACTAGCTTTAAAACAGCAACATTTTGTCTCTGCGTCCCCCATATGTTGCCCAAAAACCTTTGCAATATATTTGTTTTCTTTCAAATACTTTGAACTGCTTGATAGAGCTTGCCTGGCTCAATGGAACCAGTAGAAAGTGCAAGCCCAGCCAATCTGGCACTTCAGGCAGGCTCAATCAAAGTATTTGACAGAAGACAAATACTATTTGAACCCAGGTCTGGCCTGTAAGAACTGGCAGCATGGGCTGTAGTCTGTAGATGCAGGGAGCTGGGTGATGGAAAATAACCATTTAGTTAGTACTATGTACCTTTGGCTACAACATGCATCTGTTGTAAAGCAGTTCTAAAGCATTTTTTTTTTACAACTTGTGATTGGCCCACTATACTGCGCTAAAGACATATGTTGCCCAAAAACCTTGCATAGTGTGTGTGAGTTTGCCTGAGTGTGTGTGTGCGCGTGTTTGTGCATCTGTGTGTATGTGCACGTGTGAGGCTGGGGGTCGTAGAGATGGGCCCTGCTCCACAGCTGGCTCTGCTTTGCTCTCCCAGCATGCAGTGCCTGCCGTCTAGAATCGTGTATATCTGTCTGTTCGTCCGCCTGTCTGCCTTCCTGCCTGCCTGCATGCCGACCCTGCCGGCCTGGCTGGCTGACAGGGTAGGGCTGGTGAGAAGTTGCGCTGTTTACAGAATTTTCCGACCTCTGGGCGCTTTCTGACAGGCTCTCATTTCTCATCCCCAGCCCCCGCGCAGTGGAGGCACGCCAACGCTGCCGGCTGGCCTGGCCTGTCAGGGATCACTGGGCAATCTGTTACACGACGCCCATATGATTTTCATTTGCCTCCCCTTCAAAGTCTCAGTCAAGGACCCAGCTCTCTCTCTCTTTCTCTCTCTCGCTGTCTCACCCCAGCCGTGCTCTTAAAATGGTAGTGTTAACAAATAACTGACTTGTTTCGTTATGGACGGACGGATGTTCACTGGCTGGTTTTGACAACCCTGGTGGCGTAGGGTCTTTCATGGTCTGTTAACTGAGCTGGAGATCGAGGGTCATGACCAGCCAGTAGTCACTATACTAACCTATCCTGATGCTGCCAGCCTGACTGACCTGGACACCCTGTCCCTAGTGTTGTTGTGTCTTCAACTGGTCTGCACACAATGTTCTCTGTAATTAGTGGAAGTATGCTGACCAGTCATCAGTCCTAAAAGGCACCAGGATGGATGCGACACACATAACTGGCTCTCAGAGCAGTCCAAGGGCATCCATCACCATGCAGTCAGACCCTGGGTTCCAGCCCACACCACACACCATCAGGGACAGGTCTAAGCATGCCAGCGACACTGCATGTGACGCAACTGTGCTGCAGCCCTATTACTGGGTTAATAAACTGCACCGTCATGCCTGGTGCCTAGTCCTCCTTAGCTTAGCCTCTTTTCTGTTTCTATTAGACTGTTGTTAAGTTGACACACCGGTGACACAGGTTCACCTCCCGCTCCCATCCCCTCCCTCCGCCTGTCCCCTTGTGTGCAACGCTTTATCCTTTTAAATCTTTCTGTGAACTCAACAGCTGGTACGCACGCACGCTGAAAGGAGAAGAGGAGTAGGAGTGTGTGGAGCGAGAGATGAGCAATATGGTTAATACCTCTGAGCTCATTAATGTGGCGATGCATATTTACGCATGGTGAGGTAAGAGGCTTGGAATAGCAGCCACTCAGTCAGTTAGTGAGTGGCATTGGTGGCATAGTGGGTGAACTTGACATTGGTGGCATAGTGGGTGAACTTGACATTGGTGGCATAGTGAGTGAACTTGACATTGGTGGCATAGTGGGTGAACTTGACATTGGTGGCATAGTGGGAGAACTTGACATTGGTGGCATAGTGGGAGATCTTGACATTGGTGACATAGTGGGGAAACTTGACATTGGTGGCATAGTGGGAGAACTTGACATTGGTGGCATAGTGGGAGAACTTGACATTGGTGGCATAGTGGGAGATCTTGACATTGGTGAATGGAGAACTTGACATGGGGCAAGTGGGATCTTACTGGTGCATATGGGAGATCTGACATTTGTGACATATGGGGAACTTGAATGTGCATATGGAGAACTTGAATTGGTGGCATAGTGGGAGAACTTGACATTGGTGACATAGTGGGAGATCTTGACATTGGTGACATAGTGGGAGAACTTGACATTGGTGGCATAGTGGGAGAACTTGACATTGGTGGCATAGTGGGAGAACTTGACATTGCGAAAGGAGGCTCTACTTGATGTCGTCCGCATTGTTTGGATTTACATAAACAGTAATGGCTGTGTATGGAATGTAATAATTGGCTAATTAGAACATAGAATTAATATAATGTGCATAATTGTACATGTATTCTTTTCTTATGGGATTCCATGGCAGAGTATGTGAGGCCACTCATCAATGTCCCAGTAAACTCACTACATGTTAGTAGGGATGTGCAGTGCTCTATCACCCCCACAGCTGAGCATCATACTTGGCTGCTGGGGATTCAGGAATGCCCGAGTTTGGGTCAGAGTTCACCTTTTTCCACTGTAAATAAAATGTTGGTATTTTGCTGATGTTGGCTAGTCTGCATGTTTAGGTTAATTGCGTTGGAACACAATCTCAAGTTAATGTGTTCTGCAGCGCTGAGTTGGAGATCAAAGTGACCAGTGCCAGAAATGTGCTGCCTCGCTTCTAGACTAGAGGCAGTCTGTTTTAACAGGCTCTTAAACCACACCAAGAGTGAAGCAGCACATCCTTGATCCCACAGCGGGCTGACTTAGTGTGCCTGCCAAATGGCACCCTATTTCCTATATAGTGCACTACTTTTGATCAGGGCCCATAGAACTCTGGTCGAAAGTAGAGCACTATGTAGGGAAGAGAGTCCCATTTGGAACGCAGGCAAAGTATCATGTAATCACGGCCCATAATTGTTCAGAGCCCCGTGTATTGAAGCAATGCATGCTTATTGTTTCTCCTTCCCAAAGAATGTTCCCAAATGGAACATGGAAGGATTACATGGGATCAGTCAGCACTAGGAGTTCTGTGCTGCTGCTGGGAGAGATAACGTTCTTCCTGCAACTGCTTGTAGGACTTTCAGTTGGCTGGGCTCTGACTAGATCTTTCTCAACCCCCCAAAGATAATTGTTTGGGTTCAATTTCATTAATTGAGGGACGTTGCAGGCAGAGGTACTGGAGAGGAGAGGCTGCTGTACTGTAGCCCAGTATCTAATCCATACGTGGGTGAAGTAATCTTAAATTGGTGCCTGCATACGTGTGTGTGTGTGTGTGCGTGTCCGCATAGCCTCCGTGTCTGTGTGCACCTATGTGTTGCACGCTGACTGGCAGCACTCTTGAGATACAAATTGCAACTGTGTTGTTAACAAATGCTCGTTAGAGGCGTGCCAGGGAGCTTGTGGTTTAGTCTGGAACATCTCATGTGTCAGGCCATATTTAACCCTCCACTTACCCAGCAAGACAAGCCTCAACCTGCTGTTTGGATTACTTGGCCAATGCACCAGTCACTCAGTGACAAAGATCTGTGACTGTTTAATCTACAGCCTTGCCTTGCTCTGTGTGTTAAGCTCTGGGGAACTGAGAGACACTATGCTACGCTATATTAGGCTAGGCAAGGGGTATTCAAATCTTACCCGAGGTCTGGACTACTGCTCCAGCCAAACGCTATGCCACGCCTACGGACGTTCATTTATTTTCCGCAATGAGTCCCTGAGTGCCTCCCCGACCCTTCACTGAATGTGAACACATTCGGGGCCGTCTCTGATTGGTCCAGAAACCGATCGGTTGGGCCAGAGCCAGAACATGGTTTTGAATTCGTAATTGGCTTTGATACTCTGATTGGTTGGAGATGATCCAATCGATGATGACTTAGTTTTGTACAACGCCCCTCGTGCCCCTCGTCACCACACATGACTGATGACAGTCTCAGACTAAAGTATGTAGCGAACGACAGAGCAGTGGAAAAATTTAGTGTGAGTTGTCAGGCTAGACTACTGCTAGTTTTCTGTTCTACCTGATAATTAATTGCACCAACATGGTACCCAGGTTTAAATCAGTCCTTGATTAGAGGGGAATAATTATATGCTTTGAGGTCTAGATATGAATTTGAGGGGGCTAGGCTATGCTAAACCATGCTAGGCTAGGCTAAACGCTAACTGCTATGATGTAAGCTTACCTGGACAAACTGGCTGGCTGTGGTCCCCCATTGGGAGAACAACATTAAGGTCCCTCACTCTGTACAGTGAGCCTGCCAGGTCACAGGTCAAACTAAGTAATAAACCTATTTTCTATGAGTTAATGAGGTAAAATGGTCAACATGTATGTACAGGCGATGTTGGGTCACTCACAGGCAAGCGCTAACTCACTGGAAGATAGGCTTATCTGTGAGGGAAGTTGACATAAAAGTGTATTTTGTCATGCTGCTAAATGCCTTGGTTGATTTGTGCTGTTCTTTTCTTCATTACGTAAACAAGAACGGAAGGTTATAGGTCGACACCTTCATGTACCTCTGTGTTTTGTGTCCCTTATTTTGAGACTGCTAGACAATACCCTGGTTAGCCGTGTCATGCTAGCTTAACTGAGATAGACACAGTGAGTTCTCTTAGCAGGTAAAGTTACAAGCCAGAACCATTCCCTCACTTAGTACAGGCCTGTTCATTACTCTAGCACAGGGATCATCAACTAGATTCAGCCACGGGGCGATTTTTTCTTGAGCGGATGGTCGGGGGGCCGGAACATAATTACAAATAATTTGTAGACTGCAAATGGACCGCAAGAAGCCCAAACAGATATAATCTTTGACAAAAAAAGAATCATTTCAAACCTTGCTTACATTTGTATATGATCACGTGTCTCTCTATAATGCGTGGGAATACTTTAACAGATTTATGTCCAATAATGAAAATACATTTTACAAAAATGTATAATACTTGAGAGGCCAAATAAAACCACCTGTGGGACAAATTACATTTGGCAAATCTAACCATAACTCTATCCTCCTGCTTACAAGCAAAACTCAAACAGGAAGTACCAGTGACGCGCTCAATATGGAAGTGGTCAGATGAAGCGGATGCTAAGCTACAGGACTGTTTTGCTAGCACATCCGATAACATTGAGGAGTTTACCACATCAGTCACCGGCTTAATTAATTGCATCGATGACATCGTCCCCACAGTGACCGTACGTACATATCCCAACCAGAAGCCATGAATTACAGGCAACATCCGAACTGAGCTTAAGGCTAGAGCTGCCACTTTCAAGGCGCGGGATACTAACCCGGACGCTTATAAGAAATTCCACTACGCCCTCCGACGAACCATCAAACAGGAAAAGCGCCAATACGGGACTATGCTCAAATCCTACTACACCGGCTCTGACGCTCGTTGGATGTGGCAGGGCTTGCAAACTATCACGGATTACAAAGGGAAACCCAGCCGCGAGCTGCCCAGTGACGCGAGCCTACCAGATGAGCTAAATGCCTTCTATGCTTACTTCGAGGCAAGCAACACTGAACCATGCGTGAGAGCACCAGCTGTTCCGGATGACTGTGGGATCACTCTCTCTGTAACCGATGTGAGTAAGACCTTTAAACAGGTTAACATTCACAAGGCCGCAGGGATTACCAGGACGGGTTATCAGGTTCTGTACTCCAAGCATGCACTGACCACCTGGCAAGTGTCTTCACTGACATTTTCAACCTCTCCCTGACCCAATCTGTTATACCTACATGTTTCAAGCAGACCACCATAGTCCTTGTGCCCAAAAACGCCAAGGTAACCTGTCTAAATGACTATCGCCCCATAGCACTCACATCTGTAGCCAAAAAATGCTTTGATGCTCACATCAACACCATCATCCCAGACACCCTGGACCCACTCCAATTCGCATACCGCCCCAACAGATCCACAGATGACGCAATCTCTATTGCACTCCACACTGCCCTTTCCTGCTTGGACAAAAGGAACACCTACGTGAGAATGCTGTTCATTGACTACAGCTCAGCGTCCAACACCATAATGCCCTCCAAGCTCATCACTAAGCTAAGGACCCTGGGACTGAACACCTCCCTCTGCAACTGGATCCTGCACTTCCTGATGGGTCGCCCACAGGTGGTGAGGGTAGGCAACAACACACTAACCCTCAACATGGGGCCCTTCAGGGGTGCGTGCTTAGTCCCCTCCTGTACTCCCTGTTCACCCACGATTGCGTCTCCTCGCACGACTCGCAACACTATCATTAAATTTGCCAACGACACGACGGTGGTAGGCCTGATCAATGACGTCGATGAGACAGCTTATAGGGATGCAACAACCTCTCCCTCAACGTCAGCAAGACAAAGGAGCTGATCGTGGACTACAGGAAACGGAGGGCCGAGCACACCCCCATTCACATTGACGGGGCTGTAGTGGAGCGGGTCGAGAGCTTCAAGTTCCTCGGTGTCCACATCATTAAGGATCTATCATGGTCCAAACACACCAACACAGTTGTGAAGAGGGCCCTCAGGAGGCTGAAAAGATTTGGCATGGGCTCTCAGATCCTCAAAAAGTTCTGCAGCTGCACCATTGAGAGCATCTTGACT